AAGTTTCACTGTGGTACATTTATGATTGCAGGAGTTAGTTTATATGGTGGACCGAGAGCAAGTTCTCTGTTCAACATTGCATTCGCAGACTCGTTTCACCATGAGTACAACTCTAAGGCTTGCACAATAGAAGTTGTGGATGATGTGCAAGATGCCATTGATCACATTCATAAGCATGGAAGGCATGTTTGTCACTTTTGGCCTAAAAAATGCAAGGTTGTGTAATACTGAGCTATCACTGATTTTTTTTTCTTTCCCCTGTTTCTTCTTTTCCTAGCAGTGGCCATACTGAATGTATTGTTACGGAGGATCAAGAAGTTGCTGAATATTTCTTACATCAAGTTGATAGGTAGATAAGTGGTATTTTTCGTTATGTAATATTCTACATTGGCTTGTAATATTTTCTGAGCAAATTAAGTAGTCTAAAAATGGTACCATTTTGGGATTGAGACTTTTTAAACTGACATTACGGGTTGTTGCTTCCTTCAGTGCTGCAGTTTTCCTTAATGCAAGCACACGCTTCTGCGATGGGGCGCGTTTTGGACTAGGGGCCGAGGTATGGACTTGGACTATTCATGGATATTATTTGAGTTTCGACAGGTTTGAATTTATTCATTTTTTCTTGTTGGATTAAGGTTGGCATAAGTACCAGCAAGATACATGCTCGAGGTCCAGTAGGAGTTGAAGGACTGCTAACAACAAGATGGTTTGTACTAGCTTCCCATGAAAATGGCATCTAGTTCTTTTATGTTTGTCTATGGCTGAGAAACTATAAAATCAAAATTCTCGATTTTAATCCTTTTGGAACATTGTGAAATGAAGGCATATACTGATTTTTTTTCATTTTATATTATGGTTCTTAATCTCATGATTTTGTTGCATATTCAGGGTGCTTAGAGGTACCGGACAAGTTGTGAAGGGTGACAAAGGGGTTGATTACACCCACAAGAAGCTAGCCCTTGACTAAACAAGTCAGAATCTGAACATTTCGTGGAAATGATGCTTGAAATCCATCGAGATTTGTTGTAGTCCTCTTACCGCGATCAAGGATGAAGTATAGTGGCAGAAAGTGATATACTTTTAGTTTGGTTTCATGTTTCTGAGAAATTTACTTTCAGAGCATTATTTAGAGAATATTGGAGAGCAAGAGCATTTTTCAGAGCATTATTTAGGTTGGTTTCATGTTTCTTTCTTGTACATGTTCTATTTAGACAAATCTCAAAGTCCTCCAAGGCTACTCGGGTCATCTCACGGATGTGTGGGTAGATCGAGCCTCCATTCTTGCCAAAAACAAAGGTTCGATTCCATATCCGCCTAACGGAGTTCTATTTAAACACTATTTAGAACTGTAGAGTGAGCTAAAGAATTACTAAAGTAAAACTTCGCAGTTGTACTCACATTTTATTCTAAATTTTCTGCTCTATATATGTTTCTGGATGAGATCAATAGATGTTATGTATTTTTTTTTAAATTATTATTCTAAATTTTCTACTCCATATTTCTGGAGTACGATATTTTCTGCAAGAATAGTTAGTTGTTTAGATGCTTGATATGAATTCCTCCATTAATGCTTGAAAGAAGAGGATCAAAAATCCAAAAATTTTTGCTACTAACACAAGTTGGCTAGAAAACCTGGGCATTCAATTTTCAAATTGTGTCTCCTCCGCAACAACCCCGGAATGTTCCAAATTATTTGCTTTAAGAAGATCTTTAAACAAGTTGAATTCTTGTACAAAGAAATCCTTCAACTTTGTCTTTGGCAAAGATGGCAACCTTCGTAGCATAAGAAAATTAGCAATACTCAAGGCTTTGGCTATGGGTACTGGTAAGTTAACCCCCTAGATGTCTGGTCAACCGCTAGCTCTCTTTTGTGGGGAGAACCAGCCAGCTCTTAGCTTGAATGGCATTTCATTAGCCCGGAACGCAATAGGAACAACAGATGGGTTGATGAGAAAGCCATTTTCCTTTTGTCTCTTGCTTTTCTGAGGAGGAGGAGGAGAAGAAAAGATTCAAGTCTTTTCTATAGCGTATAGGGTTTTACATGCGAAGGTTTTTATCCCTCCAAGGGGCAAGGCTTTTGCCTTGGAGATCAAGCAAAATATGCAGACGATGCTTTATTGAGTTTGTTTCCGACACAAATGCAAAATATTTAGGTAGGGCCTATTCATATACCATCAACCCAACCTTTACTTACAAATGCCTATCCCTAACTGATCCTTATATAATTTATAAAGTATCTTTTGTTTTGAAATAAAAGGTGAACGAAAAGATGATTAGCTATTTTTGAGAATGCTTTTAAAAAATAAATATGGATCAACAGAATGTTGAGCCGATTTAGCAATTTTTTTCTGGGACAGAGAATAAATTGATATATCAATTTCATAAAAGTCGAAAGTAAACAGGTCAATATAAAATCTTGCTCCATTAAACACAATGGTAGGTCAGCTTATAGCAAAACAAGTTAATAAAGAGCTATTCTCAGGAAAGAAGAGCATTTGTTGTTGCATTTCCAATCCGACTTTAGCTTTACATGTCCTCCTAGTTGATATTTGTGTGCGTAATGGTGGGTCAATTAAAATGCAGCAACTGAAGATGCATACGAGCGAGCGTGGCTAATAGATTTTCTTTTTGGGGCAAAAAAATAATGATGTTAAATAACTAAGTTATAGGTACAAAAGGAGAAAAGCAAATTCTCCTAATGTCTTCTTCAACTGAACTACTCAGTTCAAGAAAAACATTTTCCAAGATTAATAAGTTTCCATCTCGCTGAGCACCCAGTTTTGTAAGTCGATTTGCTTTTGGATCAGGGCCAGGAACGGTTGCACCTGCAACCGTTTCTGAAGATTATGTGCATTTTATATACGACGTAACTTTATTTTCACATGGTGTAACTTTATTTGCACACGGCGTAACTTTAGAACAAAATTTTGTGGGTTCCACATATATTGTTAAAAACGAGATACAAGAAGTGATCTAGACCGTACAATTTTTTTAGAACAAATCTTGACCGTGAACTATTCAGGAACGACCCTTCTGATGACCGTCCTGCCCCGTATCCTTTGCTTCTTGACGAGCATGTCTAAAGGGTGACTCTCAACGGAGCAATGATGAGGAACCTATGGTAAGAGATGATGGCAAATCAGCAGATTTTATCAATTGCATCTATTTCTAGCTCAATATTTTGCGAGTCTAGAGATAGAGGCAAGGACCAGCCATCTCTTATGACCTTGAACATACCCTATTGGTAAAACAGGAAGGTATATAATGTGAAACTTTTTTATTACCACCATTTTCAACTAAAGCAGCAATGATTTGATAATCATAAAATTTAAATTGCTCTATGTATCAAAGCTTTACAAGTTTCTCTTTTGTACAACAAATTAAATCTTTTGTCTTATGATTGGTGTACTTATCTACAAACTGGTCAAGATATATAATCAAATTGTCATTCTTTCTCCGCTCCTTCCCTCTCTTTCCAACAACAGTTAAGAAGGAAGAAATAAACCTATTTCCTCAAACCAACGTAAAAGACAATTGCTGACTTCCAAGTTGGTCCGAGGGACTTAAATCTCACTCACTCACTCGACTCTTACTGGACCGATGTGGGAGAAAGGGGGTGGAGAAACACTCACTGAGCAAGGTTGGAACACTACTATTTTGTTCAAACATGGAAAATTGTCGTTTAATTAAAAAATGAATTAAACTTGATGCTAGCTAGATAATGCTCGTTTAATAGACTAGTTGAGGTAAATTGTGTTCGCGAGCATTAGAATACTATTGGTGGCTGTCCACATGAATAACCGAACCTACTATAATAATTAAACATAGCGATGGTTTATCAAACCAGTAATGGAATTTAGTTCTCTATTTTGTAGGATATGGTAAAGTATTAAAAATCAGAATTTTCATTCGATTAATTTCAGCAATTAACATAACAAATGATATATACATGAATGGTTGTGTCAATGAAAGTTTTTTTTATAACAATATCATGCATTCTATTAACTTTGATGAATAGATTTCGAGCTTGAGCTTAAGTTTAGCGCATGAAAACCAAAATTGTTCTTGAAATCAATCACATTTATAATCTAAAGAATTGAATGACACGACCCTTATTTGTGTTTTTATAATATATCACGGAACTCGATTTTTTTTTTTTTTTTTTTGTAAGGCTAACTCGATTCTTGTTCATAAAATAAGCGAACAGACGTTACATATTAGATTCTACTGCCATGCATGCACATGTTGGACTCATCCACTTATTTGGTCCATGACCAATCCATTTTCAGGTTATAACTTCTAGCCAATAAGTGGTCAAACGAATACTTTCGGCAATCACATAACACGGGGAAATAAATAAATTGCCATTTCGATGCATAACCACTAGAAAGGAAGGGGCTAATTAAAACCACAAATTACCCTCTCCAAAGAAACTTGGCAAGCATGAAAATTTTGGAAAGATGTGGGGCAAATGATGTGAATTCATGGTGTGGCTGGGCAAGTACGAGAGATTCCCGCAAGTGGAAAGCGACAATCAGATCCATCCGGCAGCAGAACAATAATAAAACTGCAAAAAGAAACCCTGACCATAAAAGCACTAATCAAAAGAAGCAAAAGAAAGATCCACCTAGGAGAGTCCGCGTCACCAAAGCCACTCCTCCACCCTCCATTAAGCAACCAATTACCACTTCGCATGAACACTTTCTAAATTCATTAATAAATCCAAAACCTCTCTCCTAAGTCCTACCTGTAAAACCAGCTTAGTCCAATAATAATAATAATAATAATAATAATAATAATCCAACTCCACTTAGATGAGTTGATCACTAGGTGAACCATAACACATAGGCTTAATTGGATATTAAAAATCCAAACCTGTGCACTTGTTTTAAAGTTTAAAAGATATGTAGTGGTGCATCTTTTTAATTTAATTTAGAGGTGGATCCTCTTCTTTTAACTTTTCTCAGCCTAGTTGATTTGACACAAAAAAAAAAATTGTAATCTATTTATTTTACGGGTGGCAATGATTATAACACTAGTTGCTTCAAGAAATGTTTTCAGCTTTATGATGCTTCCAATAAAACACAAACCTAACGGTCTATCTGGATGCGTTAGCAATTTTTGGTCATTTATTTCTCTCTACTCGCATTTCTCTGTTTAATCACGTCTTGTAGGCAGAAGAATACTTAAATCTCTTTAAGGATCGAAATGTTCAGTTATTGATGTGATTTGGGTTGAGGAAATGGGGGAGATTGGAGAAATCTAGGGCTTTGAGAGGGCCCTTTTCATTCTGGAAGAAAAAGGGCCCTTTGCAAAGTTTCGGGAATTTAGATAGAGAGAAGAAATGAAGGAGTTGATAGGGAGTCCGGGGACTGTTTGTGGGTTGTTATTAAGGATAGGGCAATGTATATTTGGAGCTGCATCCATTGGAGTTATGGTCTCTGCTTATGGGTTTTCCAACTACACTGCGTTCTGGTATGGATTCTTCCTTCGCATTGAGTTTTCAGAATGTGGTATTTTCATGTTTACTGGTTTTAGTTGATGGGATCGGGCCACTTGTTTTCTACTTCCTCCTTATCGAAACAAATACTGCGCTTTGGATTTTGTACTTGCCTTGATCTTTGCTTTCCGCTGGTATCAGATCTTCTTGGGCAAAGGGATTTTATAGTTCAGCCTTTTCTCTATAAAATGTTGATACGAGTTTATTTGGTGCCCAATTTTCATGCACCATTGTTTCTGGGTGTTTTGGTATCAAGTTTGCTGCTGTTTTCAGATGAAGTGAAGTATTTGTTCTAATTTCTGTTGGAATTGAAAATGTGCTACGACAGCTCACTAAATCACTCCTGGACATTTTGGAGCTGACCATATTCGCTGCACCATTTTGAAGATTGGATGTGCAGACATTTTTTTTTTCTAGTTTATAAACTTACCTTATTTATCCCTTTACCTTAACAGACAAGATGTGCAATTGGATGAGTTAAATTGAGACATGAGTTGATAATCAAAAGTTAAACATCTAACCTAGAAAGAAAAGTTACTATTTGGAGGACGTCATCGATTTGAAGAGACATAGAATGTCGAGCAATGAAAATTATATTGGTGCAGCATCTGTGATAACTGATTCTTTATAACACAACAAAGAAATCCTCTTGTAAGTGGGGTGCTTTTTGATCTAATATATCCAAGTGCTAATAATGTAATTCGGTGGTTGTTTATCCTATACTTAGAAGAGAAAGTATAGTCTAGTCTAAGGACTCTTGATTTTTTCTTATCTGCGCATGCCTGTTATTGTTGCCTTCCACACCCACATGTATTTGCGTATATAGGTTTTCTTGATTTGGCTTTTGAAAAAGATACTACGACTGTTATTCACTTTGGTAAATTATGACTTCTGATTTCAGCTATTTGATTGCATCGATGGGGCTTCAAGTTTTGTGGAGCCTTGGACTAGCATGTCTTGATGTCTATGCTTTGAGGATAAAGAGAGACCTTCGAAATCCTGTTTTAGTGAGCCTGTTCGTTGTTGGCGATTGGGTACCTTACAAATCCCTCAATCTGTCTCTTTTACATGAATAATTTGCTTATCTGGCACTGGTGAGTTAGCCTGTTATCATGGCTGGGCTTTGATTGTGAGAGAGAGAACAATAATTGCAGTAAACTCTAGTTTTATTCAACTTTCTTGTTTAGCACTCTTCTAACTCCCATTTCGCCCTTTGCATGCATAATTTTTGGAATCATGTTTATTACGGCAACACCCAGTACATGGATATGACTCTCAATACGAAGTAAAATTGCTGATCTTAACCATCCTGCGGCAAGAGGCGTATTTAGCATGATGTTCTTTATATGTGAGATTTAGGTCTCATAACATTTTCAAGCTATAGTTTTGAATATTGTTTCTCATCATTGTGCTTTCTGTCCTTTTGTTCCTAGCTTTGTTCAGTAACTTCCAAGTCAGAGAACTTTTTTCAACACAATATTCAGTTTTGTCAGCACTAGAGCTCTTATACAACTTCCTTTTCTGTCATATCTCACTAGACTTGAAGTTTATTTATTACATCTTTCTGTTTATCCTTCGTAACTGTAAGCGTTCCATGTTGATCTATGGCTGCGTGCTTAATTTGGCTGAAATTCATACGGAAGACAGTTTTACGCTTACACGTTTTGCCAGTGCTAAGTTTTGAAAGGCTACTATTCCATGTATCAAAAAGACATGCGTTTGTCTTTGCTCCCATATTGAAATCAACTTCACGCAAATAAAGTGTTCTTATCCTATTCGGTCTTTTATATCTTTCTTTGTTTCTTTCATTATATTCTTGTTGGTTTCTTTCTTATATATTTTCTGATTGGTGGATAAGTGATGCAATGCAGGTGACAGCTACTCTATCACTTGCAGCAGCATGCTCATCAGCTGGGATAGCAGTTTTGTATGCCAAAGACTTGAAATACTGTAAGGGCCCAATGCAACCTTCCTGTAGCAAATTTGAACTCTCCATTGTTCTGTCTTTCATCACTTGGTGTCTGATCGCTGTATCTTCTCATGTAATGTTCTGGATACTAGCCTCAGTTTAGGTGCTTGAAGCTCTTTTCACTTTGTCTACTTGGCTCATCTTAAAAATCATCTTTCACTTCTATATTGCGACTGCATTTTCTGTGAGAGGGAAAAACTATCCTTCATTTGACCCATATTGGTTGGTAGCTTTCTTCATTTTTGTTACAATAACTGGGCTCTTTTGGCCTACACGGGCCAATATTTGTTTTCCAGCAGGGGAAGAGCTTGTCCTGAAATTTTGATGTTTCTTCTTCCCCAGTTTTTCCAGGAGGGGCACTGTAAAAATGTTCTTCCCTCCTGGAGGTTGAGAAGTTCAATAGGTGCCATTTTTCTTTGCTTTATTAACGTGCAATTGCAGACGCGGACATAAATGGAGCGAAAGGTCGTAACTTTGTGATGAAATGATTAATGACGAATGAACAGATTAGACAAAACTTCTTGACCAATTTGTGTCAGATAGGTATATAAGGCAGACGTTTTAAATTTCACAGGCACATTTTTCCCTGATCATAAACACACAGAGCCAGCAGTTACCTGGCCGTTTACTCACAAATGAGGAACTAAAAATCCAGGGAAAGGGGCAAAAACGAAAAAGAAATGCAGAGAAAGCTACAAAACACAAAGCACAAGGAAGGACCAAAGCAATCCTAGGAATGAATTCTGGCTAGGGCTTCGACAGGTAAATTGCTCTGCTTTTGAATCATTTGCGTCGAGAATACCCATGACATACTCAATTTCCTCGGCAACTTCTCTCATTGAAGGTCGGTTTTGCCTGCGCTCGTCTAAGCATGCTGCTGCTAAATTAGCAACTGCTTGCATGGTCTCCAGCTCCACTTTGCTAGCCCATTCTTTAAGGGTTGGATCAATGGTGTCCATCAGTTTATCTTCACCCAAAATCTTTTTCACGTAAACCACCAGGTTCACATTTTCTTCTTCTCTGTTAAAATCAATTACTCTTTTCGAAGTCGAGAGCTCCAGCAAAACGACACCGAAACTGTACACGTCGCTCCTATCGGTCAGTTGGAGATTGATGCAATATTCAGGATCGAGATAGCCTAGAGTCCCTTGAGCAGAGGTATTGATGTGGGTATACTCGCTTTCGTTTGACTCCACCAGTCTAGAAAAGCCCAAAATCAGTGACCTTGGCATCTAGCCTTTCATCCAGCAAAATATTGCTGGATTGCACGTCTCGGTGATATATCGGGGGAATACCGGAAGAATGTAGGTATGCAAGACCATCGGCGGTCTGGTAGGCGATAATGAGGCGGCGCAGCCAATTAAGTGGAGCCCAGTTGTGGAGACGAAATCCGTGAAGGCGGTCGAAGAGCGTCCCGTTCGGGACGTATTCATATACCAGCAGAGGTTGCTCAAGCTCAACACAGCATCCGAGTAACCTAACCAGACTTCGATGGTTCACCTGGCAAAGAATTCGAACCTCGTTCAGCAGCTGAACGATGCCCTTCATGTTTCCGGGCTTGGCACGCTTGACTGCAGCTATTGTTCCGTCGTCGAGAGTGCCTCTGAAAACTTCACCGAAGCCTCCATAACCAAGTAGATTGTCCTTGGAAAAGTTGTTTGTTGCTCTCTTTATCTCCTTGCCTGTGAAGATTTTTGCCGACTTCCCATTGCTTTTGGCATTTAAGATTTCTTCGCGTTCCTTCACTAAAATTTTTTAGCTCGTCTCTTTAAAAGTTGACGTCTTTCATATGCTACGATTCCACATAAGATGAGTTGCAGGATTGCACCAAGAGTGGCTGAAACAACAATAAACACACGAGAGATGGTTTATTGCTTAAAAATTTGCTGCAGTATATACTTGAAACAGCACAAGCAAAGTACCTGCCCCGACGGGTTGCTCGGGTGGTTGTGTAGCCCTCCTTAGGGTGAGACGGCTAGATTCGATCCCGAGCTCAGCAACCCGGCATAATTTCTTGAGGATCGGTGGGGCTCGCTTTCCTCGGGTTGGGGGACTAGCCGGGTGTAGGCCTGGACACCCCCAACTGAAAAAAAAAAAAAAAATGTACCTGACACCTTTTTCTTTGGACTGCAACTCTGCAAGTGGATGGAACATACATTACACCTAGAGGTGTCAAAATGGGTGACTTGGGCGGGTTTGGGTTGGGTAAAATGGGTAATGGGTATAAGTGAGTCAATTCATTTATACCCATTTAATTAGATGTGTATAAATGGGTAAGTCAAAAACTAAATTGGGTAATCCAATTACCCATTTATAACCCGTTTATTTTAACTTTTTGTAAATTCATTTAAATTCATTTTTGCAAACTAAGTTATCAATTTATACCATTCTTTATACCCATCATTAGTTTTAAATATTTATTTATAATGTTCAATAAACTTAATTACCAATTTTTTTTCATTTATACTCTATGTCACAAAATTACCTATTATTTAATAATTGAATAATAAGAATATAAAAATTTGAACTAAGTACTATAAAAATTAATATAAAAACTTAATCCAAAAATTTTGAACCCCTAACATTTTTTTCATATATAAATTTAAAATTTCATTTTAGAAAGATAAGAAAATATGCTAAAATTTATCCTAAATTAGTAATGCTGAAAAATGAGCAAGTTAACAAACTAAGAGAAAATAAAATAATAAGATAAAACCAACAAATAATAATAATGAAACAAAAATAGTTAACATCATGACAAAATGAAAAATTTGAAAAAAAAAATGGGGTGGGGGAAAAGAAGAGACTTGGGGGGAAGAGAATTCTAAATGGGTTAATTGGGTTTGATGGGTTACCCAATAATACCCATTTAATAAATGGGTATTATTGGGTAACCCATATACAAAAATTTAAGATACCCATACCCATCTATTCATGGGCGGGTATGGGTAAATTTAATTAAGTGGGTTGATTTGCCACCTCTAATTACACCCCACAGGCCTACATGGAATTCCGTAACAGGCCTTAGTGTATTGAATAGACTGACTTAACTAAGGAGTCCTATTCTTGGGGGTCCTTAAGAAGTTAAACTCACAGCTTAATAGAATTCAAAACACAATTGCTTCAGCCTATCCCAAGAATAAACCCAATAAATCTGCATCTATTTATTTTGGATCCATATAGAGCCACCATCTTTGCGTTTTTGGGCCGAAAAATGGCTCTTACAATCTTCCTTCTTTTTTTTTTGATAATATGGCTCTTACAATCTTAGGATACATTTGATAAAATTAAAATCTGAAATTTGAATCTATTAAATTATTGAATTGTTAAATAATAAATTTGATATATTTGAGTGTATATCACATTTAATGATAAGTGAACAGTTTATCACTTAATTTTTAAAGTAAGTTTTGTCTAGAAAATTCAGTGTCACTTAATTAATTCAGATGCTATATTTTTTGTTATCAAACACGTCTAAATATATTAGGATATGAATTCATTAAGTTTAAATGGCGCATTGAATTATCAAACGGGACTTTAATATTGTTCACCCTATGATTTTTGTGACAACTATAACCCAAACTTTATAATATTTTTCGATTGTGTTGCAAATGAAACTACACATGACATGGTAAAAAAAAATAGAGAATGAAATATATATTGATATAGAATGTTAAATGAAGGACGGAAAGACATTTATGTGCGTTGATTTTGTCAGTTGCGGCGACCCTTAGCCTTATTTCAGAAGCAAATCCCACGGAACACTAAATTTCTGATGTTTTTGTATATCAACAAAATATTTGAAGAAATTCGGATGCGGGGACATTTTTGTGCCTTTCATTGGCAAAAATGGAACAGAAGTGGAAATGATGCGAGAGAAAGCCCTTCTGAAACAACCGGTTCATCATTTTTAATGTGGTTGGACCTTGAAAGTGCCGCTACGCTAGAAAACTTCTTAAACTCCGGTTGGATTGTAGTATAACTGTCTTTCCCAGACTAAACGTTTCGTGGGCAACAGTTTTCTTAGTTCAACAGCTTGGCCCTTTAGCCGAAGGATATTATAGCAAAGTACAAATTTCATTTATATTACACAGAAGCATAACCAGTCTGTACACTTCCAGATTTCACCCATTAACGTTACAACAACACGAATGTGTGGTCCTTTGGGGTTATCCACACAATACGCCCAAGAACCAGAGAATCATGAAAAAAGAAAGGAAACAAATAGCAAAGATCTTTCACACGCAATTAATCTAGTTATGTGAATCACCTCAACCCACCATGCCCGACTACTTTTACATGCCCTGGATTTTCCTGGGGCAAAGTAATATAGTGAGCACCATATTTTTGTTTATAGATATTCACTTGACGGCACGGCGGGGAGTCAGATGACAGCCAGGTGATTGAACAGCGGCGGAGAGCATTCTTTTGGTGGCAGAGGAAGAAGGTGATGACGCGGAGGCGGGGAAGGCACAGTCTGGTCTGAAAAGCTGAATATCAGGCATTTGGAAGCGGCCCGAATCACCTGGCAATCTCGTGTAGGAAGCAGAAGGTGATTCATTCATCCATGAACCCATCATCCCTTGTTGGCCATTCTTGTACTGCATTATAGCTCTGTATACCAGTGGAATTAAGCCCTCCATATCGTCTAAGTTGAGAGGGCGGGTAGGTAGGGTGTGGAGAGATTTCAGATTTCTTGGTGTTATGTTGATTTGCAAATTACGATGGGGAAGGGAATGGAGTGGTTGGTTTAAATTTAAATGAGAGACTTGGGTGTGATGACGTGGCGTAATGGGTTGGAGCCTTAGCTGTTTAGTTTTAGTCTAAGCCAAGCTGACAGATTGGCAATTTTCACGAGTGGGATAAGGATCATCGCGAATTGAATCATCTAGGCTTACAAGGCAAACCTGCACGAAAACCATACTTGAAAGCTCCATTCAAACTACATTCCATTACATCTCACCAAATCTCAAAACAAATATTATCTAGTAATACGCTGCTATATTATCTTCGGATTTTTAATCATTTTCATATTGGTCGACTTTGTGCTCAATGCTGATTGTACATGTGATGTGTGTGGTGATCCATCATTAATTAAAATAATCCCCACAGCCTTTCTTCTTTCGTAAGCCACTTTTCCACTCGTACCATTTTAAACATCTTTATTTCTGCTATACCTATTGCTACGAAATTCATGGAAGCTTAGAATGAAGCACGAGGTCTACATTATTGCCATGTACCATGTGTTTTT